CTGTCAAGTGATGGGCAAGTCATCACACACACACCTTCACCTGCTCCACTTATTACTATCACCACTGATGGTGACCCATTCTCACGTCTTATCATAGATTGTGTTGAACCTTTGCCTAGAACCAAACTAGAGGACCAATACTTGTTTACTATTATGGATGCAGCGACACCCTATCCCGAAGCTATTCCTATGAATCAATGCATTCAATTAAAGAGATATACAAAGGGAATAAGAAAAGCAAAAAGGAATTATGAGGCTAAAGTCGCAAGGGATTCGAAGATTAACCCACAAGGGTTCTTTCAGGTGTACAAGATTGGGCCACTTAAGAGTAACTCTGGTCAGATCACTTACAGTGATAAAGAAATGTGTGAACTTTTCAATGCATACTTCCTCTGTTTTTACCCAGGAAGATACTAGCGAAATTCCTGAAATAGATTATATAGAACAGGACGATAATAAACTATGCACTAATTTATTTATTATTGATTTGAACATGATACAGAGAAGTGCAAGGAATACAATTTTTAAAGTGCAGTATGCCAAAGCCCCTTGTATGCAGAGCATTATGGGCAGGCTTAAAATTAACTTAAGATTAACTAAGCAATGGTACATTCAGTGGTACAAAAATTATTGTAAACAGATAAGAGACACATCTGTAGCTCTGTTACCAAACTGAATGAAGTAGGTTTCGTCAATGTTTAGAGTAAGTTTGTTGATCCTCATCCAGGTTGATACTGTCTGTAATTCAGTATTTACAGTATTGGCTAGCATGACTGGGCTCGGGTGAGAGAAGACGTATGTAGTGTCATCTGCAAATAGTGTGGGTTTGAGTAGTTGCGATGCATTTGGTAGGTCATTTATGTATATGAGAAAGAGAAGAGGGCCTAGGACACTTCCCTGTGGGACACCAACTGTAATTGGCTGTGCGGAAGAGTTTGCCCCATTTGTGTACACATATTGGCTTCTGTTGCTGAGGTAAGACTTGAGGTAGTTGAGGGAGTGCCCTCTTATACCATAGTGCGACAATTTTATGTGGAGCAAGTCATGGTCAACTGTATCAAAAGCTTTACGTAAGTCAATGAAGATTCCCAGTGGGACTTCTTTTTTCTCTATTGCAGTGTAAATATGTTCTAGCATGTGTATAATAGCATCATTAGTATTTTTATTAGGCCTGAACCCAAACTGACAGGGGTTGAGTATGTTGTGGGAGATGAGGTAGGAATACATACGCTTATGAATTAATTTTTCAAAGATTTTAGAGAGAGGGTGTAAGTTGGATATTGGCCTATAGTTATTCAAGCCTGTGTGGTCTCCTCCTTTATGGATCGGGGTGACCCTTACTATTTTGAGAACTCTAGGAAAGGTAGAGGATTCAATGGATTTCTTAGAGTGTTGCAATGATTGGTGATAGCACCTGTGACACTTTTTTGTATATATCATGATCAACGGCCTCAAAAGCTTTACTGAAGTAAATTAGTTAGGCATGAACGGCCCCTGGTGAATCCATGTTGAGTATCATTAATCAAATTATGCCTATCGAGGTGACTTCTTATATTATCAGCTATAACTGACTCTAGTAACTTGCCTACAATTGAGGTTAGGCTTGTTGGGCGGTAATTGGACGGTAACGACTTGTCCCCTGCTTTAAAAATAGGAATTACATTAGCCATCTTCCACATATCAGACACTACACCTGTTTGAAGAGATAAATTGAAAATATTAGTTAACGGTTCACAAAGTTCCATTTTGTATTTTTTAAGAATCCTTGAAAAAACCTCATCAGGACCCGGTGATTTATTTTGCTTCAGTCTGTCTACTTGTTTCATAACCATTTCATTAGTGACTGATGTTACATAATTTATCGTCTTCAGGCCCACTATAAAATTAATTATTGGGATATTGTTAGTGTCTTCCTGTGTGAAAACCGAGAGAAAATAATTAAATATCAAGCACATTTCATTCTCCTTGTCAGTAAGATGCCCAGAGTTATTTTAAGAGGACCTATCTTATCTCTAACTTCTGTTGTATAAATCTGGAAAAAACCTTATGGGTTAATTTTCGAATCCCTAGTAACTTTAATTTCGTAGTCCTGTTTAGCTTTTCTTATTCCCTTTGTAACATCCCTCTGAATGCCAAAATATGAATTTGTAAGATGACCCTCACCTCTTTTGATGCGCCTATAATTTGATGCCTATTATTCATCCATTTTGGGTCAATTCTATTCGATCTAATTTCTTGATATGGGATAAACATTCTTTGGTCAGCACGTATAGTGTTTGGAAAGCTGTCATATTGATAGCTTTCTTCATTACCCCAGTACACAGATGACAAGTTTTTTATAAGCCCATTGTAATCTGCTAAGCGAAAATCTGAGACCATTACTGAGTTGTTCCTACTATCATACTTCCATTCAATGCTGAGTGTAATTGATTTGTGGTCGCTTGCGCCGAGTTCCTCTGTAATTTCAAGGGTTTCATTGTTTGCCAGAACCAAGTCAAGCAGATTGTTTCCCCTTGTAGGCTGTGTCACAAACTGCTCCAAAAAACAATCCTGAGACTTCTAAAAAGTCGTTAGATTCTAAATTCCCAGTCAAGGAATTCCAATCAATCTGACTAAAGTTAAAGTCCTCTAGAATTACTATGTTATCGTGCCTTGTTGCCTTAGTTTGGGGGACTGTGTCATGCATAAAATCTATTTTTCATACCCCTCAGAAAATTCTATCCAGACTCTGTATGTGTTATTTCAGACTTTATACCCTTTTTTATGCAACAATCCTGGCGAGCTTCGTTTTTCTGAGTACTATTATGTTCAGGGATGTCTCCTTGATTCTTTCATGCCACTTATTTATTCTATCTGCATTTGTATACCAAACCTTCAACTTTTCTAAAGCTGTGGTCTGGGGGATACGTTGGGGTTGGGTAAGTAGTAGACCTGATGAGGAATTGCTGTGAGGGTGGAGTTCGTAATGAGGTGGATGGGGGCATTGGATATGGCATGTGTGTTTTGGGTTAGAATGTTTGGATGGCTTGAGGTTGGCCTGGTTGGGGGACTTCTGTAGGTGGTTGTGAGGGATATTGTATTTGATTTGAGTCTGGGTTCTCCTGTCCATCTCCATCTTCACCTCTCTTTCCTCCTTTCATCTTTGTACCCTCTCTATCAGTTTCTGCCTTTCTTCTCGTGTTCTGTAGCGGTCGAGATACACCTTCTGGTATGCCGACATGTCCCTTAGTCTCCTGCAGGATCTTGTTTCGAGTCGATTCTACCTTGAAAGTCACTTTGACTGGCTGGGTGTGTGCATGTGTGTATATGCATGTGCGTGTGTGTGTGCATGTGTGCGCGTGCATGCGTGTGCGTGCATGCGTGTGCGTGCATGCGTGTGTGTGTGTGTGTATGTGTGTGTGTGTGTGTGTGTGTGTGTGTGTACACCCAGCCTGGTAAAGTCCAGCATCATGGTCAACCACAACATTTCCTGAACAACACCTCAGGAAATACATTACTATACTCATTGGTAAACCGGAAACCCGTACTAATCATACAACGTCTGGGGAATGGCTGGTAATCCAGTTTGATCCAATGAAGGGGAGGTTAATTCCTGTTCCTTGGATCAAGAGGCCTTCACCCATATCAAGGGTTTCTACACTAGTAGGTAGAGAGCCAGTACACTTGTTGTAGATAAATAGATCTGTGAATGTTGCCCAGAATTAACTGTTATTCAACGTAGCTTTCCTAAACCACTTATTAATTTATTAACTGTAACGCTACTCGGGTTTACCACTTCCAATAATAAATAAGAATCCACTGGTCAGCAAATTTAAACTTTATTAATCTATTTTAAAAACTAATTTCAAGGTTCGTATTTTTTCTCAGGACGTCTGGTTTTCAAAATACAGAACTCTTTATATAACTTCAAATTTAAATAGATTTAAACCGTAATAAACTGCATATTAGGATTATCACCTATATAATACCTATGGCGTGCATTTATAAATTTTAAAATAGCAACAATTGCAACTCGGATAAAACTTAATGGCAACAATAATGTCACTGCGCAACAAGAACTTTTTTTTAAAAACATTGTTAGTAAGACTTCCTCTTGTAAACTTTACCTGTTTTGTGGCGTTACAACATCTGCCATCATGTTTTCATTCCAGTAATCTTATAAGCTGTTTTCTGAACTGCCGGCTAGTGCTCATTTTACTTTTTAAGTGCTATTTGAGGGTCAGCAGAGGTGTATATAGGCCTCGATTCTCTCCATTTTGACGCCTAATTTGAGGCACTTGCAGTGCCAAAATGAACCCATATGATCACATATTTTCCCGAGTGAAACATGTGTACTAATTTCCAGTAGGTGTCCATACCGTGTGTAAGTGGACAGCTGCGCCATCTTTTTTTCCATACATCAACTCTACCTCCTACCACTCTTTTGTTGCCTTTCAACTGTCGCTCATTAGCACACAACAGCAACGCCATTTATTACCGAATTCAAGTAGCCGACAACGAAACCGACCAGTCGGGAATGGCTCAGCATTAGCCGACGTTATTTAAAGGCCGATCTCATTTATAAGGCTGACATTTATCTTTAGTAAAGGTTGCCGACTTTGTTGATATAAGGGTAAAAGAATACGAGCAGTCAATCGGAAGCTGTACGTGGTAGAGAAAATCTGTACGTGGTAGAGAAAAACTGTACGTAGAGAAAAACTGTATGTGGTAGAGAAAATCTGTACGTGGTAGAAAAAATCTGTACGTGGTAGAGAAAATCTGTATGTGGTAGAGAAAATCTGTACGTGGTAGAGAAAATCTGTGCGTGGTAGAGAAAATCTTTACGTGGTAGAGAAAAACTACGTCTCATGAAAATTCTTTGTTGATCAGGAATATTATTATTATTATTAAGAAGGCAGCCTATTGAAACATATTTGTATTTCACCTGGATGTGTAATATCCAGGCTTTCTTTTATATAAAGCACCAGAAAACGACACTAAAATTATTTTTATCTTTCCAGACTAAAAATGAGAAAAGTAAAGCAGCTGCAGCCTCGAAAAGGTCGTCAAGTCGTGCCTCCAAGACTGGACTTGAGCGGCGTGACGACTTGGCCTCTTCCCGACGGGACTTGTCAGAGGGACAGATTCCCTCTGTAGGTACAAGTTCGCGACCAAGCACACGCCAGCGTAGCGGCAACAAGCTTCTCACTACTGTCAGCCGGCGAGGGGGACGAGGCTCACGCCCAACCACACAGGAACGCTCAGAATTTGCTCGAGCTAGTCTCTCCAAACCCATCCTAAAGGAATTACCCACTGCCAACCCTCCTATTCCTATTGATTTCACCCGGAAGAAGCCTCTGGATAACATCCGTCCCCAGGCAGAGCGGGGTAAACTAGATTCCGTACAAGAAAACAGATTGAGAAAGCAGGCATTTCCTCTTCCAGACACTCCTAATACTCAAGTGCAGAATAAGCATTACGATTCCTATCGAAAATCAATAGTAAAGCATGGAAAAGGGACGGACAATGGAGTCCCACGGAACTGACAGTGAGGTTGATAGAGATACCTTTGAGGTTTGGCCTAGAAGAGATGTCTCCAAGCCTCTCTACATGCTTCCTGAGACTACTAGAGCTCGCACTCGCCGTTATGATGATGGCCGCCTCAATCGTTCTCACAATCTAGCACTCATGCGTTCAGCTCAATATACCGCCCACATCCGTCCAAAAACTTCTCCCGAGGTGCTAGAACGTCGTCCAGGAACCACAGGTGATCAGAACACGCTAGGTGAGCGGATTCAATTGTTAGCTCCTGATGATAGCCTTCGAAAATTGTGTGACATTCTAGGTTCATCAAGAGGAAGTTCACGACAGTCCAACCACTTGGAGAGTTCACCTGAGAACAGTTTACCTGCCTCTAATTTACCCTCAATCCACGCAGGAAGTAAAGGCCTGTCGCATAGCCAGAGAAACACAGTGTCAGTGTCTTTGGCATCGTTACGAAGTCGTGGTGGTACACCGCCATCCCCTGGACCAGGAGCTCTGGTGGCTTCTGGCTCACGAGAGCAGAGAGAGGTACTGCGGGGATTCATGAGAAACCAAGCTGGAGCTTCCCGAAGGACCACTCCTGAAGAAGTACGTCTCCCAAATCGACGTCCAGGTAGTGGCAAGGTGTCAGTTCCTCCAAGCCATCTTCCGCTCTTCACGCCCTCGCGGCGGAAGGGGCGTAGAAAGAAAAAATGTCAGCAGTGTTCCAAGCGTCTTGGTGTTGCGACTACTTACGAGTGTCGCTGTGGTGGACTCTTTTGTGCTCAGCATCGTTACGCAGAAACACACACTTGCACCTACGACTATAGGACAGCTGGTCGTAATTTTATACAAATGTCTAATCCTTTGGTGGCACCGAATAAGCTACCCAAAATATAAGTAAATTGTGATTCCTTTTGCTTGTGACGAGTAGACTTACAAAGTATTAGACAATTCTGATGTGAAGTTAAGTGCCTAAGAGCTCCACAAGTTTTCTATGTGAATGTGACAAACTGTAGATCTATATTATATTGATAATACATAGCGCTTAATAACTATTTTTTTTGTCACATGTCCCAACAAAAGGTGACCCAAGTAAAAGAAACATTCACCATCACTCATCCAATACATACTTTGCTGGAAGTGTACAGACATAACCATTCAAATGACCCTCTGAGCTGTAACATGGCCACCCTTCCTTCAGAATGAAGTTACTGTACTTCTTGTCTCCAGGACTCAAATCCGGTTATCAGATTTTCCCTAGAAAAACTTATCGCTACTTATCCCTATCAAACGCGCTCACACGGGCCTGTTGATACTCAAGCCTCAACCATGTAAAACCTTCACATCCTCCAACCTTTCCATTCACCCCAGATTTATAAATCCTCTGGGTCATTCAATGGTGTTCCAATGTACTTGAGTGCTCAAACCACATGAACAAATCCTCATCTGCCATCTCAATATTAACTTTCGTATCTCCACACTATTTGTAATTTACAGGGCCGATTTTTATTTGCATAATATTTACACCTCACATTAAGCCCCAAAACATCGTCTCCTCTGCCACCAGGCTCCTTGTAAAGTTTTAAGCCCATGCATGACACTCATATAAACAGGTTGGTACCATTATATTGTCGTACACTTCTCTCTTTTTCTACATAGATACACTTTTTCTCCACAAACGCCTCGACTCTCCAACAGTTTTCAGTCCATCTGTTTCATAGTTCACGTCGTCTTTCATAGATCCATCTCTCATGTACATTCCAAAATATCTAAATTCATTCACTTTCTCCACTTCCTTTTTCAAAGCATACTCGTATACTCATAAATTTTGTGCTACTCTCATCGCCTTACTTTTTTTTGTGTTCCGTTTAATTTCCTTATTTTAAACACCTTCCCAAACTCGTCCGACAATCTGTGCAGCCTCTCTTCAGATTATTATTATTATTATCAAGGGGGAAGCGCTAAACCCGGAGGATTATACAGCGCCTGGGGGGGGGGATGTGGAAGGCATTCAGGCTTAATTCGGGGAACTGGAGCACAGATCCAATTCCCTAAATCAAGAGCCCCCCACCAACATCAAGGAACCTTCCTTGAGGGGCCTCTCTTCAGAATCTCCCGGAAGAACTGTCTCCGACAAAGAAAACCTTTGAAAACTCCCATTCGTGTCGGATTTCATCTCTTTCCAACACCCTGACATTTACTGCTCTAAAAACCCTACCTATAAATATATTATTCATCTATGGTGACACAACACATCCCTACCTATTGCCTACTTTTACTGGATAGTGCCCCTCATTCTGCTATTAATAACGTAATACCTATTCATACATTTGCAACAGCTACCACTGTTCCAGCATCCATCATATATTCATTAAATCCATAAATGAGAAATATTTCCTTACCTTTATGTGATCATTTTTCACTTATATATTTCAACATTAACGTTCCACACAGTCCCTAATTTTCCTACTATCTGCATTTTACTTTCATTTTTACCACTAACTCTTTCAATATTATTTTCACCATACACTTTTACCTGGTATACTCAACAAACTTATATCCCTTATGGTTTTTGCGCTCTCTTGTCCCCTTTTTCCTTATACTAAGGTACTATCTATGTAAGCTCTCTGACAGTTCTTAGTTACTATCTCTTGTTTCATGCATATATTGTAAAAAAATATACACAAACCTCTAAGACTGCCCCGACCTGCTATTCACACCCGAGTCTAAATTCCAACTGTCGCAGCTGCTTTACCCCCTCATGGTACCCATCATTAATATATTGAACATCATTACACTGCACAGCTTTGAATTACCTCACAATACACAAATACCTAACTCATAATCAAAACTTATGTATCTTAAAACAGTGTTCAGGTAACTCTTGTTCAGATTCATGATAAATAAAACCTATATTGTATATAGGCTAGGCTCCTAAAAACATATTGAATTGCATCTCATTTAGGCCTACCTAACTGTATAATGTTATGCAAAATACCTATATTAAAATATGTCATATAAGATGTACGAAGCTGCTCAATATCTTACTGCACCAGGGTAACTAAGCAGCCACAGCTGCACCCACTATATTATTATTATTAATCCTGGGAAAATGATAAATCCACAAGAATCACACAGCACCTGGGGAAGGTGAAGCAGTCACCTAGCAATGTGTGAAATACAAAAAACACAAAGAAAATAAGATAAAAAAAAGTAAAGAAATCATGGGTATGTTTCAAGTGTTGATGTGTCCTCATTCACGGGGCGTCCTAGTGAAGGGCTCTTGATCCCAGCAACTAGAGCAATTCACACCTTCATCGGGATAAATCTGGTTCTTTCATTCTCTAGGTGCTGTATGACCCTTGCTGGTTTAGCGCATCCCTATGAAATATGACGAGAATAATGTTATCTTTATTGAAGTAGAAATGTGTATAGAAAACAACTTAACATTTGGTCATGTTCTTACGATGACGACTCCTTGATATCTGTTTATTTTGTAGATTAAATTTGAAGGAATTGAATTGTTTTTCTAAAGATTAAATCTTTTGTACCACTGAAGAAGTGTATAGCAGATATAGTATTAATTTCTTACCACTGAAGAAGTATACTGCAGATATTGGTTTAATTTTGTACCATACCGAAGAAGTTTACATCAGACATTAGTATTAATTCTGTACCATTCGGGAGAACTGGACAGAAAATTGGTATTAAGTTTCTTTCACATTATACCGTCTAGTTTCGTACCATATCGTTACATTCACCTTGATAAGCATGACACTTTACACAGTTTCCACTAATACACAACCTTGACACAGTTATAGCCAGGTGGCCCAGTGGCTATAACTGTGTCAATCCCCGCCTGTACCATGGCTTGGCATAGTTCATTAAGAAAACTCGACAACTTTTGATGTCTTCTCTCCTAGCCCAGTGAATGTAATTACCATCCCGGTATCTCGGACACCAGCGATAGTGTAGACTAGTGGTCTGCACCTCTTGCCGTAGCTGCTACGGTGGTTATCGTGCTTCGGTAGCACGATAACCACCGCAGCAGCAGAGATAATTAATGATTATATTTCCTCAACCAAAGCAAGCTGGTATTTATAGTGTATGTAGCCTGTGCACCGTATTTACTATTATGAGAGCACAAGATACTGTGAGAACCGTAACGATCAGCAGTGAAGGCAAGTCTGCCAGAGCTGCTACACGAGCGTCCCACGTCGCTTCACAGCTTTGGCAGACTTCCTTGGGATTGGCTAGTTGAACCCAGGTACTGGTTCAACCAGCACCTGGTTCGCTGGTCGGGAGGGCATGTCTGTATGGGTGTGTGACATACGCTGAATAAAATGTAACATTCTCTTACCACGGCATACTCTCGGGTTGTTACTCAGGTGGTACCTAACGAACAATCACATGATCATGGTGGTATCTGAGGATCAACCACATGATCATGGTGGTACCCGAGTAACAACCACATGGTCATGGTGATACCTGAGGAACCACACGATCATGGTGGTACCTGTGGAACAACATGGTCATGGTGGTACTCGAATAACAACCACGTAGTTATGGTGGTACCTGAAGAACAATAACATGGCTATATTGGTACGTAAGCAACAACCACATGGTCATGGTGGTACCCCAGGAACAACTGGAGGTCATTGTGGTACCTGAGGAATAACTGGGGGTCGTGATGGTACCTAAGGAACAACCACATGGTCCTGGTAGTTCAGTACTTTAATAGGCACTTCCATGAAAGCGCTGCCATCTTACAGCAACACTCCTGCCATCTCTTCCCTCACTAGAGTGAACGGTTGGGTGTGGTAGCGTCACCGTCCTCTCCTGTCAACTCTGATTCTCTCTCGCGCTTTGACCTTCATGAGTTTAGTGCCTCCGCATAATTTATGTAGCAATATACAAGTAAATAAATATGATCTCAAAATTGAGGAGTTACAAGAAGTAAAGTATTTAAAAGAAAAATAAATTGGCCTTGAAATTCCGGAAGGATACGAGCAGAGCCGAGGTCGAGGCTTCATGTTGATGTACGGATGTGGACTCAAGGTATTGTAGCTATTTTCGCTGTATAGCCCTTGTGGCTTAGCGCTTCTTTTGATTATAATAATAATGTAGCTATTTTACTATTTCTATAATAAATAATAATAATAATATATTTCTACAAGTACATGTACAAGGTATACAGTCCTATCTGACATCAATGACATACTACCATATAGAATGACGCTTGTTATGCAGCGTATTTCGGGCAAATTAGGCCAATTTTCTCCCAGGATGCAGCCCACATCAGTCTATTAACTCCCAGGTACCCATTTTACTGATGGGTGAACATAGACAACCGGTGTACGGAAACACTGCCAATGTTTACACCCTCGCCGGGAATCGAACCCAGACCTCACCGTGTGAAGCGAGAGCTTTTGCCACCAGGCCACAGGATATCATAGATAAAACCAGAATCTCTTATTTTCAGCCCTGTTTAACCCTTGCTGGTTTATTGTTCCCCTCCCCCTTAATGCAATAATAATCATGGTCTCGTATATAACATGATATTGCAATTCGGTGGCTGGACGGTCTGAGAAAGATATCCCTGTATTGGATAACCCCAGTCCCCAGTACCTCAATGCACGCAAAAGGATTAGGGCAGAGTGTGGTATAAGGACCTAATGCAATCGAATATTGGGACTACACTTGAAGTAAATAAGAGGCAGTCAGAATTTATCAAATGGACACTAACATCCCAATATCTTCAATAAAAATGGTAAACTAAGACAAACACATCACATAATTTATTCAAATCTTCCGCTAAGAAACACCTAAGACAGGATGAAGAAACATTCTCTTGCTGTCTCAAAGATAAATATTCTAAAATGCACCGGTACATTAAGAGTGAATTTTCATTACCCGGTTATTATAGCAGCGTTGAAGACTGATATCAATCGCCAGAGTTGCTTAAAATTTGTCGCATGAAAACCAGCATTTAAACTATCAGTTTTTTAAACGGGAAAAAAAGACCAGTTAGGACCTACACAGGACAAAATTATTCCAAACGTTTTTGTAAGTAGGAACAACTAGAGTTTATATCTTTAGTATGTACTCACGTAAGTAATTAAGTACGTTTAATTTTAAGTTTGGATAAAGAACGTAATTTTTTTTTACACTGTTCGTGAGAGCACGCACGTCTTGAACACAAAAATCTTCATTGTTGAAACGTTTCGCTTACACAGTAGACTTCCTCAGTTAAATACAGAGGAGACTAAAATTATGGAGACAGTAGTAGTGTCGGGGCAACGATAATGTGATCACACTGTCAACCTTGATGTAGTAGTCCTTGAGGTGGTCAGTCCCTCAGCCTGGAGGACACTTCAAGGCTGTAGTCTGAAACAATGTGACGTAGAAGCACGAGAATGATGCCTTAAATATTGTCCAAGTTGTGGAAAATCCTGAAGACGTCACAGGAGGTGAGGACCAGTTATCTTCAGTCCTGCATGTGTACTGTGATCACCAGTTATAACCAGTCCTGCATGAGTACTATGGTCTGCAGTTATCACCAGTCCTGCATGAGTACTGTGGTCACCAGTTATCACCAGTCCTGCACGAGTACTGTGATCACCAATTATCACCAGTCCTGCACGAGTACTGTGATCACCAGTTATCACCAGTCCTGCATGAGTACTGTGGTCACCAGTTATCACCAGTCCTGCACGAGTACTGTGATCACCAGTCTTGCACGAGTACTGTGATCATCAGTCCTGCACGAGTATTGTGGTCACCAGTTATCTCCAGTCTTGTACTACTACTGTAATCACCAGTCATCACCAGTCCTGCATGAGTACTGTAATCACCAGTCCTGCATGAGTACTGTAATCACCAGTTATTCCCAGGCCTTTATAAGTGCTGTGGTCGCCAATTATTTCCAGTCTTGTACTAATATTGTGAACTCCGGTCTTGTACTAGCACTGTGGTCACCAGTTTTCTTCAGTCCTGCTGTTATAGGTGAAGTGGGGGAGCGTGGAGTACCGGAAGGAGAGATGATGTTGCTTAGGTTGAAGTTTAATGTGCCAAGCCTAGCTCCTACTTGTACTAGGTACAGCTGTCAACTGAACTGCTCACACAGAGAGGTGTGAAAATGTAACTGGTTGTTACATTTATATACATGGCCCGTAGATAATTATGACATAACTTACAGCTTGAACACGATATGTTATGACGACCTTGACATACTATTACAAACAACGTGACAAACAAGATACAATTAACTGAATGGCTGTCATGAAAAGGCTTTGGTAGAGATGCTATATAATGCAAAATAGTATTTAGAAATTGTTAAGTCAATAAGATATGTATATACACATCACACAGAATAATATATGTAATCACTAATCCGCTTAGAAAATTAGCACAGTTATATAAATAAGAATCTTCAAAGCTCAAGCCATACAATGAATAAGAGTCTTGCAAAAAATTTTTGATCAAGCACGAAATTTACATAATTGCAGGTGTTTACACATTATTTACAGTGATAATTTACAAGTAATTATTTACATAATATTTACACAATGATTTAAGATAACACAGTTATTCAGTATTTACAAAGACTGACATACAAAGATGGCAAAATATTGATAACTCATAAGGTAGGCTTTTACGTATTGATACTATGCAAAGCATAACTGTTACTAATTACTTACTTTCCAACAAAGTGTCCCCAGAGGAAAACAATTATTTGATCTTAGGAACAGTTTCAGTGCCCACGGTTGTCTGTCCGCTGACACCCGAGGCAACTGCAACCTATCCTTCTTTCAAGAAGTTTTAGATGCTGGTTTAAAAACCTGATGTATGTTACCAATGGTTTAACGTTTTGGTACATTACCAGAAAATACATATATCTTTAAATTCTCTACCTTGGCTTGAGTAGGTGAGAAAAATCCGACTTTGAAAAGGCACACTAGAACCAGCCACTTCACTAAGGATGGACGTTCTACAAAGAGAATTCAACATGTTGCTAAAGAACCATAATACATAGAAGGAACTGTCTATTTAATAAACCATACCACGGGTGGGGTTAGAACCCGCGATCAGAGTCTTAAAACTCCAAATCTGCGTGGACTCTGATCGCGGGTTCTAACCCCACCCGTGGTATGGTTTGTTTGCAATCGTGTCATTACGATTTCGTGAGTCCTGTCTAC